GATCCGAAACCTAATACTAATGGGTCAGTCACAGCAGGTCAAAACTATTTTTTGTTGGGAAATAAAATTCGAACCTTCCTTACAAAAAAGAACAGGGAGATGGGTAAAGGGACAATATTAACAGTTTCGTAAAAAAAACAAAGCTTTTGTACACCATAGGAAACCAACCATAAACTTATTGATACATTAAACAAGAAAATAAAATCAACAAAAGGATTCTACTACTACAAATGAGAGAGTAATAATTGACACGTGACTATAGAAATAGGAAAAAAATTTAAATTACAGTATAATAGATTTAACACTATAAACATGTCAAAATATAACATCATTGACAATTTTCCAAAGAAAAGTGATATTGACAAATTGTTAGAGACTTGATGTCTCTTTTAAGATGGGATTTAATGGTATTGGATAAAAATAACATTAGAGTATTCTTTCGATGGATGATGCCCAGACTTCCTTAAAAAAAAAAAAAAAGAACTTGAAATGAACATATCCAGGGTTATTTGAACTGGGCCCACCTGCTTACCACCATAAGACGTTCACATATGGTTCGCATATGGCTCACCCCACCACCTTCTTTTAAATGTTTTTTCCCATTCATTACACGTTGTTTTTTTTTTTTTTTTCAAATGGAATATAAATGATAATTGCAAATTTAACTTTTGTATAATCTATTTTATCATAAACGTACGTTTCTGTATAATCTTGAAAAAAATATTCGAACATATACATAAAAGAAAGAAAGAAAGAAAGAAAGAAAGAAAGAAAAAATGTGTAGTAAGAATGAAAAAGAGAAAGTTAGATGCAAATGAAATTTTCTATTCTCTTGCACAACCGTGTCGATGATTTTTTTTTTGTTTTTTTTTTAATTTATTAAAAGAACATGTAAAATTTTGTTTTCTTTTTTCGAGTGCTTGATTATCGATCGTTCCAATTAATACATTTGAAAGATCACGTACCAGTTTAAAGGATTAAAAAGAAAGAGGTTGTGGAAGAAACGGAAGGAAGGTAAGTGTAGGTAGAAAGGAAGGAAGGAATGAAAAAAAAAAAAAAAAATAACTAGCTAGCCAATGGCACAAGTTCGCGACAAAATCATAAGATGCTATCTTTCACATCGTTCAAGGCAGCTGCGTCCGGCAATGCACGCAAGGCCCATGCCAGTTGTAAAAGTTCTTACAACGTTATATTGTAACCCTCGTTGCACACGTACCTACTATCTTTTCTGACTTAAACATTTTCTTTCATGTGTGTACATATGTAGTAGTAGTAGTAGTAGTGGTATAGGTAGATAAGTTGCAATAAGAATGTAGACCGATGATGACGAATAAAAGTATTATCTATACCTTTATTACTTTCTATATGAAATATCATTTAATAAAAATAAGATATCTAATATTTATTTAAACTGTTACATCATTTAATCTTATTTATTCAATTCTATTAAGAAGAAAAAAAAAAAAAGGGGGATCATTGATCATTAGTATAACGTAACATATTTTCAATAGAAAACTTACTAAACAAAATAAATAAATGAACATTTTTGTGCATATTACCATTAACCTTTTGAGTGCTGAATACTATATTTTATTTTATTTTATTTTATTTTATTTTATTTTATTTTATTTTATTTTATTTTATTTTAACTATAAGTTTTTGTAGAAATGGAATAATTTATTATTAAGTAGATTCTAATAATAAAATATATTTAATAATTAAAGTTTTTGTTTCTAAATATAATTTAGTTAATTAATATAAATATTACATTATTTTATATTATATATATATATATATATATGTATATATATATATATTTTTATATATATTTTATATTATATATATATTTTATATATTATAT